CTGCCACTTCTGCAATTCATCACCTCTAACCATCAAACACATACTTATGGACTGCTCTTCCCTCCGACATCTCCAATCACAGATCTACTCCCCTACAATCAACAGAAATACAAACCCTCTTACATGCGATGAACCTAATATTGCCACCAAAATTCTGAAACTCTTCACCTCTCTTAATTTAAAAATCTAAATTTTCGTTTACACTCCTATATATTTTCAAAATTACCTGTAAAGACGTTAATAGCCTGAGTCGCTGAATGTCTCTAAATTATAATAACTAACTAACTATATACACATGAATTTGAATAGCATATATTTTCGTGATCTACGACCCGTGATCGGTGCTCTTCACAATGTCTCAGGTCTGGGTCCGACATCATGGGAGAATGCAATAGTGTATTTCCTTCGGAAAATACACTAAAAATTAGAATCATAAACACGGAACGAAGGAAATATCGTTGCTTGAAGAAACGCATTTTTTCGGCCTGAATTGTCCATTTTCATCTGATGTAGCATGTAAACTCCTTTTCGAAAACAGTAAATGGTAAAAAAGAAAAAAAACCAAACAATCTGATGCTCTACGCATTCTACAGACTTGAGATAGCAACAAAATAAAAAATTAATTCTGTGGGCTGTACTTATACTTAAAATTCGGATCCTTACATAACTAGCCCGGATAGCTCGGTCAGTAGAACATTCGGTCCGTCATCAGAAGGTCCTGCGTTCAAATCCCGATCAGGTCGGAAAAATTTGAAAGGTCGGATGGGACGATACTGGTGTAAGAGGAGTGAAAAAAGTAGAGAACAAATATGTTTTCATATAAATCATGCAATTCATATAAATTTGTGACATTTTTTTTGCAATTTTAATTTCTTCCGAAAACTGTGACAAGACAAGTCTTGTTCCCAGAACTAGACAATTTTGTTACCGTGACTAGACTTCTGACTTATGCAACAAGGAAGTCTTGTTCCCTGAACAAGACTGTATGTGTCCCATGAACTAGAATACCTTGTGGATCAAATATAACAAGACGGTCTTGTCTGAGAGACTAGAATCCTTGTTTCTCGGACAAGGCACTTTTTTCAGTGTACAGCGATATCTCAGAATCTATCTGTTAGATTTCATTCAAAATTCTCATAGAACACCATATCTATGGTCCCCTCATGCACGTCAAACGATTTTGAGGTACGCTAAAATTTGGGGGGGGGGGCTGCGCTAAATTGTCCATTTTTAGCAAAATCACACGGAATGCTCATTTTGAAGAAGTGTAAATTTTGAAAAATGTCTTTAATTCTTTAACAATGGGCATCAAGCACATCACCTGGGTCATTAATTTTTAGAAAGCTTAGGATTTGAAGGCATTTGTCAAATTCATCGGCAGAAACTAAGCGAAAGTAATGCAATTTTTTTAGAAAGCTTAGGTAAGACTTCAAAAAATATGACCAGTAATTAACTTCAAAGGAATATAAACATCTGGCAATGAATATTTTTCCAAGTTCCGAAATTTTCTTCAATTTTCAATCACCCACATCGACAATGAACCAGAAAAATAGGTCTCACGACAGTTCGTTATCTTCCGGCCAAAGTATATCACAATTCACAAGTGCTGTGCGGCGTTTCAAAATTTCCGTCGCCATTTTATTTTCTTGCAGAGAAATTGTTCAACGAAGCTGTCCGAAAATTTCACTGAATTTTTTTTTGTGCTGCCGATGAAATTCAGGGAAATTTTCAAACAGATTCAACCAACAATTTCAGTGTAAAAAAATAAAATGACAATGAAAATTTTAAAGCGTCGCATGGCGTTTATGATACTTTGGCCGGATTATGAGGAGTTAGGATGGGAAGGAAAGCAATTTTTTGTCATAAATTGAACTGGGTAGAGAAATGAGCGTAGATATTTACGGTTTCCGTTTCGCCGGACGCACAATAGCGCTGCTTGTAAATCCTGTTAATCCCCTTAATTTTTGAGCGGACGTCCGACTTTAAATCAATTAGGTAGTGCATTTCCTCTCCCCTCCCTCAGTTCAGCGTACATTCACCTACGCTATTTTGACAAACATTAAAAAATGTTGTGAGTAGCTCTATAGACGGCTCAAAAAACGAATGTTAAAGAGAGAGGCGAACGTGGTTGCACTAATGAACGGATTTAAAAACAAAGCTACGTGAATTTTGCAAAAAGCAATGATGACAAAGATGAAAAAAAAAAAAAAAAACACTTCCGCTTTCCGGGCTGAATAAAAATAATTAAACGCAAAAGCGCTGCCTAGGCCATTTGTTTCAAAGGTTCGAGACAATAACGATTTGGAAAAGGACTTGTCCAACATAATTACTGCCAGGCTGTGCTTATGCAGCGACACATTTATAGGTGAAAATTAATGTGGAGTTTGTGGATTTTATCCTTAGGTTGGCAACTCTGCGATCAATCGTGTAGGCTTCACTCGTTTATTCGGAGAGGAGAAGGCTCCGTAGAAGGGGATGATAAATAATGATGCCTGCAGACTATTAAAAAATCAAGAACAACGATCAATTATTTTTGTGGAGGACTTGACGATCATTACAGTCGCCCAAGTCTGTTTCAAAAATAGGGAGGAGTAGGAAAAAGGAGGGGGGGGGGCTAGAGAGATGAATCAGCGTGGCAAATGCAAGTGACGTAGCGAGGAACTCTAGGATTCGATGAGGGGCGTTTCGACTATTTTCATTCGCGACGTGCCGTGAAAAAAGTCAACTCTGAACTCCCAAAAATGTTTTGGGCTGAAAACCAACGCGAGCAAGAAATACTTCACCCCTCTCCTTATAAGGAGTACTTCTTGTCGGTGAAGGTTTTTCGTATTCCGAGCTAAACACGCTGAACATCGTGATTATACTGATTCGCCTTCAATCCGACAAAGTAGGCAAAACGAGCTCCCTTCAGCAGTTATACAGTGGTATCTTACCAACAGGAGTTCGTCACGATAAACCACTGACCATCAATCCTAAAAAAGGA